GAGTCCAAAGAACCGTAGACAGGCCTCCTAGAGCCTACGATGTGACAGTGCTCCTGTATGACATTGAAAGGAACTGCAGTCATCTTTTGCCTCATTTCCAGGGTTTGCAAGGACAGTCATCTGGAGAGTAGTGCAGCTGGCACTCAACCCAGTGCTTTCGGAGCCCTGGACTTTCCCTCTGTGCCGTGCTGGTATCGTCTTTAGATTTTGGGAGGGTGATTTAGGAGGCTAGAAATGGGAAAAAGAATTTAAAATGTTAAAATTGATCAAATTGACAACGAGAATTCTCAGAGCCTGAAAAAAATATCACCTGGAAAAACTATCAAAAATACAGATTTAGTCCTGCTGCCTCTCTCTCCCCAGATGGAGTTTTAGAGATCCGAAGCTCAGAGAGGCGTTTGAAATTTGTCTGACAGGAAACGGCCCTTAAAGGGATGGTTCTGGGTTTAAAGGCTCTGAGCCTTAGGAAAGGTGGGTCAGGGCTCTTTCAGACAGCATCGTGCTTTTGGGGTCTGGTTGAGTGTACAAACAAGTTCCAGACCGCCACAGGCAATTCTATTGTCCTTCCCTAGAAGGCGACCTTATGTTTTTTGTCCAGTATTTGGGAGGCAGCTTGTTTTCCCAGGTGGGGTTCAGAAGATGCAGGTTTTGCTTGAGGACTTTGGGGTCTGAGCGACCTAGTTTCACCCAAAGTGAGCATTCCAGTGCTGGCTGCTATTAGCAGACGTGAGGATCTTTGAGGATTTCTCCCTGCCTGTGGGCTTGTGAGCCTGGAGGGTGGGAGGCGCTTGACAGAAAGTGCTTTTCCTTCAAAGCCAGAAAAGGAGGGGGGCGGGGTGGGAAATCTTGGACAGTCCTTCTCTCTTCCTGGACGTACATCACTCACAACTCGTTTCCTGAAAATCCTAATACACTCCAGTGGTGAGAGACAGCTTCCTGCCGATCTGCTGAGCCAGCCCCTTGTCAGGGAGGAGATGAGAACAAGATGTGGTCAGAGAAGGAGCGGGTAGGCCCAGCTGGGCTGCTCGGTGGCGCTGTGGCCCTCTCTCTGAGGGGATAGCAGTGTCTTTGGTCCCAAGAGCAGTGCCAAGGCAGCACCTGGGCATGTGGGCACAGATGGGCCTCGCATGGGGCACGGGGGAGGTTTTGAAAGCAGTTTTATCCATCGGTAAAATTGCACAGATGGTGGTGATGAAACATCACCATCCCTTTTGCTTCTAGAAGGAAGGACCTTTCTGGCTAATATCTGCAGTCCCATTTGAGGAAAGGGTTGTTATTTCAAAAAAACTAGCCCTGAAATTCTTACATGTCCATCCTTTCTTTCCTGCCCTCTGCATTGCTTGCCCTTCTTGCTCTTCTCTGCATATATTCACATCTAAGAGCTAATGGTCTCCGTTTTATGACATCGCATATTTCCCCAATAACTCGGAGAGTTATTACTATAGATGGTTGGGCCTCAACTGCGGCCACTATCATCATCAAATTGTGGTTTGGACTACTGGTTCCTGGCAGTGCTTTAGTTTTATGTTTCTACCTTCCAAGAGAGACAGAGCAGAAAATGGCTTAAAAAGTATGGTCAGTACCAACAGACCAGGGTTTGAAACCTGCTCTGGTACTGTGCCGTGAGATCTTGGACAAGTTACGTGCTCGAGTTCCCAGTGTCCTCAATTACAAAATGGGGAAAGGATTAGTACCTACCTCACAGGTGTGTTGTGACTTAACACTTAAATACATGTGAACCATTGTGATGGCGACTTTTCTGGGTTCCCAAGCACAGAATGTTCCAGGATGTGCTTTTGGGTAGCAAGACACTTTGATGTTTCTGCAGTTTACCTGCCTTAAAAGTATGTTGAGAACTTGTGGTCTAGGGCGGTGGTTCTGCATCAGAATCACTCGGAGAGTTATTACTATAGATGGTTGGGCCTCAACCCCGGAGTTTCTGTCTGCTTCAGAAGGTTTGGGGTGGGGCCCAACAATCTGCACTTTTAACTAGTTCTTAGGTGATGCTGATGCTGCTGGTCCTGAAAGGGTAGTTAGGTAGAAGAAGAAGTAGATTGTTCTGGGTAGATTCAGAAGACAGAATGAGGCCAATGGGTGCTGGTTACAGAAAGGTAGTTTTTGGTATAATGTAAGAACTTTCTCTAATTACTATATGTGGTCAGAAATGGAATGGGTGGTCTCAGGAGCTCCCTGTCACTGGAGATGTCCACTGCTGAATGGCCATCTGGCAGATTGCTACACAAAATAGAAGGTTCATTCGTTCATTCATTTACTCATTCATCCACTTCTTGACAGAATAAACGTGTACTGCCTGACTGGTAGGTTCCGGGAGCTGGGGAGAAGCCTTGACTAAGGCAACCGTGCCCCCTGCTCTTACAGACCCCACAGTCTAAAGAGTTTGGCTAAATGATTTCTAAGGTCTCTTTCAACACTGAGGCTCTGAGAGTCCTACGATGATGGGGGCAGATGCTCAGAATAAGAAGCAGCAGAAAGATGCTCGCCCTTCTGAGGACATGTGGCCGAGAACTGGCAAGAATGTGGACACCTCTGAGGCTCAATCTGGATTGCTCTCTTTGCAGCATCTTAATGTCACTGGATGAATGATTTTTGCCCCTAAGACTCAGAAGAGGCTGAGAGTGTATTTACCAGGAGTGCATTTCCTGAGGGGAAATTCACATCTCCCTGCTGGCACCGGGATGGACCATTAAACTCTGAACCCCTGACTACCCGTCCATTATGCAGTCTGTGAAAGCAGACCCAGGAAATGAACTGCAAGAATGAGCTAATTGCTTTTTCACCTCTCTCAAGTGATATACTGGAAAGTTAATGGCTGGGCTGAGTTAGAGGGAAATAGGTAAATTCCATCAGTTTTTCTGGGTTCTTCCGTCATAATCCCCGGTATAAGCAGTAATGGTAGTAGCCAACTTTTGCTGAGCTTCACTGTGTGCCAGGCCCTGTGGTAAGCCCTTTTCATGCATTTTTTACTCTTACGACAGCCCTGTCGAGTAGGTGTATTATCCTTGTTTTTGCAGAAGAGGAAACAAAGGTTCAGAGAAGGCAGTTAGGTAGAAGAGGAAGTAGATTGTTCTGTTTAAGTAACTTGCTCATGGCCATAGAGACAGTAAATGTCAGAGCTGGAATTGAGAGTTCAATCTCTGACTCCAGACCATGCTCTGAGCTTCTAGTATACTGAACAACTCATTTATTCACTCATTCATTCATTCAATAATTAGTTAAGTCATTCTTTTGTTGAATAAATATTCAGCACTGATATATACTGGTGAGCAAAACAGCTTGGACACTGTCCTCGGGCTTACAATGTATCTCCTTCAGACAAATGAGTGACGCCTTCCTTGGATCCTTGGCTGGTTAGATGCTAAGGAGACAAATGGCTGGGAGACAGAATCTGGCAAGTTAGCAACTGACCCAAAGTTTCCATGTGAATGAGAGTTTCTCTACACAAGCTGGGTTTTGTCCTTTGCTTTATTTTTGCATTTCCCTATTGGGTTTCTTTTCTTCTTGTCCAAGGCTGGATGTTGAAGGGCTTGGCATAGTACAAGAGGCAGTTCTTATGGTATTTCCTTCTTATTGCTCTCTGAGGGTAGAGGGGAATCTGAGAGTCAGGAGTCCCAGAACTTAGAGCTGGAATTGACTCTTCAGTGACCCTAGAGACGCTTTTCAGTGACTCTCTCTTGCTGGGAAATGTCACCTCTTCCAAAACCAGGGTGGTCCCTGCAGATTCCTTTGGCTTTCTGAGCTGGCCTTGGCCTATATTTCTTCTTTTGTAAAGCAGTTTCAAATTAGGTTTTCAGTTTTCAAAATAAATACATGACAATTATTTTAAAAAATTAACCAATTTTCAGAAGTATGCAACTTTCATTGTGAACATCTGCAATCCCCTGAGATAACCCCCATTAACAATGGACATTTGCTTCTCCAGTAGTTTTCAATGCATGCACTACTGTGTACTCTTGTTACTTCTTTCATTAAAAGGGATTTTTAAAATACATACTTTCCTGAAATTTATTGTTTTTTCCATTTTAGGCCTCTTTTCATATGAGTACATATAGATGTATTTAATTCTTTTTTTTAGACTCAATTTCTCTTCCATTGGAAACTTTTTTGTCCCCTGACCTCGACTTTCTATAGATGCATTCTGCTTTTAATGTGGCTGAACTAGTTGAAGCATCCGTTTGGTTCTTTCATTTTTCTTTTAACTGTTAGAGCAATTCTAGGAACCTTGTTTGGTGTCGCCTTGCCTTTGGTGAGGGATTCTTAATCTGAGCTTCAAGGGGTCTGTGGCAAGTGAGAAACCAATGTCCAATTTTAGAAAAGCAAAAAAGAAAAGAAAAGAAAAGAAAAAAAACAATTTGTTGGAGGGGTAACGCACAGAACACCCAGGTCTCGGGAAATCTGAACCGCTAGGTCTCAGAAAGGACAGGCAAAGGCAGCTCTGGGAATCCATGCAGGAACAAAGGACAGATGAATAGCTCCCCTCTGTTCAGTTGTTGCAACATTACTCCATTGGCCTCACTTGCATCGTGGGCCACCCTTGGCTAGGGCCAGGTGGGACACCTTGATTGACAATCTCACCAAAACATGCAACAGGGAAGAGATATTCCCTTAAAGAAAAATCGGTGTGCCAACTAAAAGTTGGTGGATACCAACTGGAAAAAATCAATCAAGGTACACAATAGGGTCCATAGACCCTGGGAAATTTTGTGTGTGTGTTTGCGTGTGTGTTTTCCCAGGACCCGGAAAAAGTTAAGACCACTGCTTTAGTTGTATCTGTCGACTCCATCTGGTTGTGTCTGAACTAAATGATGATCCCTCCTCCTGGTTTTCTTTTTGTTCCTTAGGGCCTTCTGGCTACCCCATTTCTTCTGCATGGAGATGCTTGGGGTGGTTCTGCCTGCTTCATTTAGAATCACTGGCTGCTGTTCCCAGGAGGATGGAGTCCATTAACTCCAGAGACAAATGTCTGTTTTTATTCTTTGCAGGCACCTTTTTGCTCCAGCCTACACAGAAACCCATTACACGCCAAGTGGGAACCCTCAGACCACCACGCTGAAATCTGAGGTAAGTTCAGGTCAGCAGATAGCTATGAAGCAGCTGCCCTGTCCCGGTCCTACCCCCGGGAAGTGAGGAGATGTGTGATGAAGATGGTCCCGCCTCTGAAGGGAATGTTTCCCCTGACTGAAGACCAAGGGAGCGAGCAGGAGAAGCAGAATGGGAATTTGCTGTTTCATAAATGCACCCTCTCTTTGCTGGCTAAAATGGTCAGACAAACAGAATATTTTAGGGTAACTGCATCTGATTAAAACTGGTATAAATCATCGTGAAGCATACATTTTTGTTGCTTTATGTTAATTACTCACATACTAACAAAAGTGTAAGTAAAAGAAATGATTGACTGGTAATCCCGTCATCTCACCAAATCAGTATTTAATTGTTTCGTTTGCATATGGATGTGTAAGGTTTTGTAGTCTGCCTTTTTAATAAGGTTTTAGGTTATGAAGATTTTTGTATTTTACTGCTTTCTTCATATTGGATATTTTTTCCCCTCAAAGTTGTTTTTGAGTTTGGATGTTTGCACAAAGATATATCATATAAAAAATGATCTTTCAGACGGATACATTTTAGTTTGGTTCACCACACCCCACTGGTAGACATTTAAGGTAATGAATCATACACTCTTCATGGTTTGCTAGCTTTTCCTACTGGAGGACCTGTTAGAATTTGTGAGATCAGAGTAGTGGTTCTCAACCAAGAGTGATTTTGGTTTAAATCTTTTTTTTTTTTTTTGTGAGGAAGATTGGCCCTGGGCTAACATCCATGCCCACCTTCCTCCACTTTATATGGGACGCTGCCACAGCATGGCTTGCCAAGCAGTGCATCGGTGCACGCCCGGTATCCGAACTGGTGAACCCCAGGCCGCCGCAGCAGAGCCCGCGCGCTTAACCGCTTGCGCCACCGGACCGGCCCCTTTAAATCATTTCTTTTACTTAAACTTTTGTTAGTATGTGGGTAACTAACATAAAGCAAAGTAAATATGCTTCACAATGATTTATACCAATTTCAATCAGATGCAATTACCCTAAAATATTCCATTTGTTTGACCATTTTAGCCAGCAAAGGAGGGGACACTTGGAAATATCTGGAGACAGTTTTGATCGTAGTGACTGGCAGGTGGATGCTACTGGCATCTAGTGGGTAGAGGCCAGGGATGTTGCTAAATGCCCTACAATGCACAGGACAACCCCTCCACAATAGAGAATTATCTGGGCCCAAATGTCAATAGTGCCCAAGTTGAGAAACTCTGGATGAGAGTGATCCTTCTCAGACTCTGCGCTGGTGAGATGTGGTGAAGGGGAAGGGCAGATGGACTCCAGCAGGAGCAGCAGTGGCTTTCTGCCTTTGGGGCAGGCCATAATGGACTTCTGTGGCGTGCAGATGTGGAGGTGTGGTGTGTAGGACAGCAGGACGGGCCTCTCTGCCTCAGTGCTCTTCCAGCAGCTTCCTGTGGAACTTGAGATGCCCACATGGCCCATTCTTTAAAATATCTCTGCCAGAGTACAAATGTTTAGAAGACAATATCAGCCACTATCAGTCACTGACAGCTCAGATTAATTTATTGGATTCCCCTTGAATGGGGAAAGGCACACAGGACAGTTGAGTTTTGATAGATCTGAGAGGTCTAGAGCATAGTACCTAGGTAGCTGAGGGGCTGTGTTGGACTATTGAACATGAAGATCGATGCTGCCTTCTTCTCCAGGACCTTCCTGGATGGGGAAGGAGTTGGCAGTGTGGCTAGTGCCCACAGCAGGCCAGTTGTTGGTGTCTTCTCATCTCTGGGGAGGTTGTCCCACTGTGACTCCACACCTTCTTCAATGACCCTTGGTTGAAACTTCTCCTTTCTTCCTTGGTACCTCTGTTCTTTGCCTCCGAGAGAGGAGTAGGAGGGACAGGCCTGCCTCAAAGCCCCTAGCCATCATGACCTCACAAAAGCACCCTCCTCTGAATGTGGATCCTGCACTTCTGTACCCACAGCTCAAGAATGGTTTCAGTGCACAAGTTTGCCATGAGCTCATGCTTCCTGCTATGAGAGCCCCCTCAGGCTGGCCCCTTCCGGCCGAGAAGCTGAGAAAGAATGCGATGACTTCATGACTCTTCATTTACTTGTTCTTTGTGCTCTCAGAATTAGGCAGAGATGTTGTTAGGGCCTTTCAGAAAGAGAGGAATGGGAGAGAACTTCCCCTCACTTTCAGAATACCCCTCCTTCCTGAAGGTCTTGTGGACCAAAGCACGTCCTAGCTGAACTACGGGACAACTCGTTGTTTTCTTACATCCCCTGCTCCTAGACTCGTGAAAAGCTCCCACCCAGCCCCCTTAGGCTTCCAGTCAGCTTGCTTATTTGGGAGCTGAGGACTCAAAGAGAAATGGGAATGGAATAAACCATTTAGCTGTGCTTGACCCAAATGTTGAGGGCCATACTCTACTACGAAACTTGGCCTGGGGTAGTGGGAGTTCTGGGAACCTTATCAAACTCATCAGTCAGGCCTGTAGGCTACAGCCCTAATCTAGGTCAGGTCATTGGGGGAATGGGTCTGTGAATGTGTTCCAATAGAAAGAGTTACCGAGTTTGGGGTCTGAAGCCAGGGTGTTAGTCTTGGCTTTAACTAGCTATGTGACCTTAAACAACCCTTTTGACTAGACTGGTGTTGAGTTTCCTCATCTGAAAATTGGATATGCTAAGATATGACTCTCAGGGCTGTGGAAGGGTAAAATGAATCACTGATTTAATGGGAATTTATAAACATCTCTTCCATATTTTACAGATGAGGAAATGGAGAGGAGAAGAGAAAAAGTAACATGCTTAAGTTCAGATAACCAGTAAGTGGCAAGGTTTAGACTAGAACTTAAGTCTCTGCCGGTGCTAGAAGATTGTAGAGCTTTGACAACGTAGGTCTTATGCACTTTGCTGAGACTGCTTTTGCTAGGAGAGGCAGAGCATGGGGTCTAGAGTCAGGCTACAGGGGTTTGAATCTCCACTTTGCTGTGTGGCCTTGTGAATGACTTAAAACCTCTCCAACCTTTAGTTTCCCTTTTCAAAAAATGGGAATAAAAATATCTACCTTATAAGACTGTGATCAGATTAAAGGAAAAAAATCTATGTAAGTTGTTTATCCTTCAGTAAGAGCTGGATCCATGTTAGCTCTAATTGTTAACTACAGTAAATGACAGGTATTATTATCAAATGCGATGATGTGTGTGAGAGCCCTTTGTAAATCGAAAGGATGCTACAAAAGTCAGTTGTTACGCTATTTCAGAGAGCCCCCGGGCAGTGAACGCTGTTAGCATCAATCCAAAGATGGGAAGAGATACAGGAATTCTTAACGTCCATCCCTGGATTTGAATTCTCTTTGTTTGAAGAAGTACCGGGATTTTTGAAACTATAGCTGACCCGCTTTTCTGAACTTCTTGACTCTCCATCATTCCAACAACTATGAGCCCCATTTACCCCATACAGGCCCAGCACCGTCTTCCACCCATGCATGATCCTGGCTTGTGGAGTTCAGGGTCCTGTTGTTGAGTGCTAAGGATCAGGGTCAGAACTTGAGCTCTTGATGGTGCACCTCCAGATCGCAGAGCCCAGGGGTAGTTGGAGACGCCATGTGGACAGGCTGGCACTTGAAAGCAGATGGAATCCTGGCTGGAAGAAGGGTTGTGCCCCCCTCACCTTCTTTCATAGGTGCTATGGGATGTCCCAGGCATGGTGGCTTTCCTTTGTGCTCCTCTGAAGCTTGGAATCCAACTTGTATAAAGTCCAGGAGAGTTTGATGCAAAGAGAGGGGCTGGTGCCTGTCGCTCCTCCTGACTGCGTGAGCTTGAATGGGTGGACGAGCCACACTGCCAATCCTGAGTCGAGTGCCAGCCTGGCCTGTATCCTGTGATCTGGCTGCATGGCTCAGCTGGGTAGGATGTAGAATTGGTGCAGTTAAGGCTGAGGATTCAGCCGCTTGGTGGCCTTCCAGCTCCATCGGGGCCACACCTGCCTTTGACAAAGGAGAATTTAATGCTGATAATATGATCAGTAATGTTTACTGCTGCCTGCTCTGGGCCAGGTACCAGCTCCTTAATGGACGATATTCTCACAACCACCTCATGAGGTAGAGGCTGAAGACGCTAGAGGTCAGAGAGAGGTGGTAAACTGTTTACATAGCTGGTAGCTTGCATTTAAATCTGGCCTGGCTATGCCAAAATGTTTGGATTTAATTATTAGGCTATACTCTTGCCTAGAGCTGGGTGGGAGGTGGAGCCAGAGAATATAGACGAGTGGGTTAGCTGTCTCCTGGGTCACATCCTTAACCTGCTGGGGACCAAGGAACCACTACAAGCGCGCATGGTCCTGGTGACAGATCACTTGGACTGTTATGTGAGTGAATGCCAGAGATTTCTGATTGGGGCTGCTCAGGCTCGGGGTACTGCGGGGGGGGGGAAGAGAAAGCTTCCGTGTCGGCAACTACGTAGTTTATATGCTTCTTAAGACCTTTTAAGAGCCTGGCTCTGCCCTGGGGATCTTACCTCCTCTCTCCCCTGATCAGCTTATTTCTCTTGACCTATTTGGAAGAAGCTTGTAGGAGTGTGTCCCTTGTTATCACCCCCTGTGTGCTGGGGACAGTCCTGGTTTGTGCCCGTCTGTCTGGTTTAGCCCTCTCAGCAGTGTCCTGGTTTGCCTCAGAAATGCTCTAGTTACCCTACTTATAAACACTCTGCTGGCACCTCAAACTTTTATTTCAAGCCACTCTTCATGGTTTGTAATTATATCTTTGTGCGGCTTTTTAATTAAGATTGGCTCGCGCAAGACCATAAGTCCCATGAAGGCTGGAGCTGTGTGTGTGCTCACTGTTGTGTCTCAGGGGCCTCGCCTAGGGCCTGGCACACAGCGGTGCTCAACAGCTGTTTGCAGTCACAGAGGAATCCATCCGTGTTGGGAAGACCAGATGGCTGAGAGACACGCTGACTAGAGACGCACTGCATCAGACCTCTATGCGTCCACGGATGCAGGTGCCAAGTCAAGTCTGATCCAGACATACAAGGATTCAGGGGAGGTGGGGAAGGGAGGGGGATCGCTTAGTTTCCTAGGCCTGCTGTAACAGAGTACCATGAACTTGGAGGATTAAAACAACAGAAATGGATTCTCTCACAGTTCTGGAGGCTAGAAGTCAGAAAGCAAGGTGTCGGCAGTCCCTCCGCAGTCTCTAGGGAAGAATCCTTCCTCGCCTCTTCCTAGCTTCTGCTGGCTCCTGGCCATCCTTGGTGCTCCTTGGCTTGTAGTTTTATCACTTTAATCTCTGCCTCTGTCTTCAGATGGCCTTCTTCTCTGTGTGTGTCTCTCTGTGTCGTCTTTTCTTCTTATAAGGACGCCAGTCCAGTATGACTTCATCTTAATTTAGTTACATCTGCGAAGACCCTATTCCAAATGAGATCACATTCTGAGCTTCTGGGTAGACGTGAATTTTGGGGGACACTATTCATCTCTACGGGGGGGTCACAGAGGTGTCTCTAGTGGAGAGGCGGGCTCTTTAGAAGCCAGTGCCAACATCATGCCGTGGAAAGAGCTCTGAACTAGCTCTGAAAATCCTGGGTTCTCCCACTGTCAGGGAGACCTTTGGCAAGTCTCTTTGTTCCTCTGGGCCTCAGCTTCTTCATCTGTTCAGTGAGGATGGTGACAACTGCCTTGTTCCACCTCCCATGACTATTATGAGGATCAAATAAAATGGTGGCTTGGAAGGCTCTTTGAAGATGGTAAGGTTACAGTAGGTATATAATAAGCCGTGGATCATCTGTGACCTTCGCAGGACATAAACTTTGCCATGCCCTTCAGTGTTCTTGGGCCTGACTTCCTCCTTTCTTCTTGCCAGGATCACTGCTTTTACCACGGGACGGTGAGGAAGGCAGAACAGTCCAGTGTCACGCTTAGCACTTGCCGGGGAATAAGGTAAGAGGCCCTGAAGGTGCGGGGGGGGCGCACCTGGCACTTTCCTCAGGAATGGAATTTTCAGGACAAGCAGGGCTGGCCTTGGGCGGGGACCTTGAGAAGCTGTCCATTGAGAGTGTATGCAAGCCAGCTCTGAGAAGGGCTGAGCGTGGAGGGACAAGGGAAATCCTGGGGTTGAGTTTTCTCTTCCCTGAGGAACTTGAGGCTTTATTATTATTTAGGTATGGTGAAGCCAACAGAGCAGGAGATGACTGCCATCAAAAAGACAATTTGTTATACTCAAGATCCCAAGAGGAGGGGCCACGCCCTGCCAGGGGCGCCACACAGGGAAGCACAGGGGTCTTCAGGAGGCAGAGGGCGAGGGGGGTGGAAATGTGGGCAGAGCCCTTATTGTGGTTTCTGCAGGAAGGAGCAGGTGGGGAAGGGTAAGCAGGCTTAGGTTTGGCTAGTTTGAATAACTTCAGCAGGCTCTGGGGCACAGGGGCTGTCCCTGGTCTGGCACCTGGCCCTGGGGTGAACAGGGCAGGGGGATAGTGCGCAGGCGGGTAGTGGCCTGGGGGTGAGAGCCGCATTTGAAAGGCATGCTCACTGGTGAGTTGTTCACTATCTCTAGGAATTGGCTAACCTTCGAGCGGCAAGGCCCAGATGTCAAAGCATCAAAATATAGAAAATAAAAGACATGATTCATACTCTTGAGATTGATGAGTTTGAGCATTTATTCCCACTTCTCTTTGCTCTTCTCTGGTAGAAGTACTTGTAGGTGGTGAAAAAGCAAATGGGCAGCTGGTAGGAAGAGAAGGGAGAAGAAGCAAGGATAATTTTCAAGACAGAAAATTAACTGAAAAGTTCCAACTGGGTGGCATGTTAGAAAGAGAGTGACTCTTCACTCTCTGAGTGAGACCACCTGGGTTTGAGCCAGTAGCAGTTTACCAGCTGGGCAGCCTTGGGCCTCGATGGTCTCATTTGTAAAACATGGATAAGAGGAATATATCCCTAGCACTGTGAGGAGTGAATGCCATAGATACCTAACGTTTAGAACTGGCTGGCACGTTGGAGCACTCAGTAATCTCCTAGACCCTTGCTTGCTAGATGTGTCCTGCAGTGGGGCGGCATCAACATCACCTGGGGTCTTATTCAAAATGCAGCGTCTCAGGTCCCACCCAGACCTACTGGATCATAATCTGCATTTTACCAAGATCCCCAGGTGATTTGTGTGCACCTTACAGTTTGTACCTGAGAATAATGTGTTCCTTGAGAATATGAATTTTATCTCAAATATGTTTCTCTCCTCCAGCCTGCCCTAGTGCTTTGCATATGGTAGGATCTACACATGTATGTTGAAATAATAAATATCACTTATTTAGACTCTTCCCACTCTCCTCTCCTTTTGGGAAAGAGAAAATGATCTGAAAAACCTATATTCTAATTGCCTGTACTAGTTGCCTGGGTTTCAATTGCCTATACCTTGTGGTACCTATACCCAGTGTGTTGATAAACTGGTTCTGTGAAAAAGAAAAGGGGGAAAAAGCCCTGATTTTTGTAGCATCTGCCAATATGCTGGCAAAAATACTCCCACCATGACCAAAAATCTATCACTGTGATGTTACTGAAGGCCGAACTGAGAAGGTATGTGCACAGTTGGCTCTCATGAGCCAGTAGGAGGTGTTTCCACTGTGTACCCTTCCTCTTTGTCAATTGATTCATTCAATGATTGTTTCTTTCCTTTAATGAATTAATACCGGGTGCCTACTCTGTGCCTATGCCCTACACAGGTGGAGGAAAGACAGCCATTAAAAAGTCATTTTCTGAGTCCTCAGTTTCCTCATTGTAAAATGGGCATCAATGATAGGCGTGGTAGAGAACGTTAAGTGCTATGTTAACCCTACAGCACTCTACAGATGTACAGGATTAATATCACCTTATAACACTGAAACCACGCTAAGACCTATCCAGGCTCACATGCAAATGCAGGGCTCCTCATGCTGCAGATGCCACGTGTTCGTTTATAAATTGGGCCATGTTTCCTCTGTGAGTCTCTGTGGTGAGTCAGCCAGGGGGAATTAGGCAGGAAACAAGCTTTGGCTGGGAGGCCATAACAGTGGCCCCAAATCTCCTGCTCAAGTGACCTGGTTGAGCCAAGTCAACTGGCCTCCCAGTGGTGTTTACAAGCCCAGCCACCACCACCTGCAGTCTGCAAGTAAACAATGTCTGTCCCAAGAAGGAGGAAAGGGAACATGCAGGTGTGACTTGCTTCTCGCTGCCTCTTCCTCTGGCCCCTCGGTCTGGAGCAGTGGGAACTTGGCTTGGCCTCTTGTAAATCATTCCTGCAGCCGTGCTGACAGGGGGAAACCGGGTGAGCTGTCCATGTGTTTCTGTTTTGCACGCTTCCCTCTGGTGGGGTCCACCCACCTTACTTTCCCAGCCTTCTCATGACACCTTAAGAAACCAAGGGTGTCTGTGGCCCAGCTGATTTAAGAGCTGGAGATGCATGCCAGATGGCTCAATTTGGACTCTGGAGAAGGAGCAGCTACAGCAGCAGCAGCCTTCAAACCCCTGTAACACTCAGGTCGCCCCCCAAGACTCATAAAGCAATGCTGCAATGGAAAATCTCCATAGCAATTGCGCTTCTCTCCTGGAAACATGCTCCTTGTGATTGGAGAAAATAGGTAGGATTTATACCAAATGGGATCTTCAGGATGATGATACAAATGCAGAGGAATTCAGCTGAGTTTCTAGATTGTTGTTAGGCCCCTCTTCTCTCCAAAGTGGTACTTTTAGGCTATTTTAATTGAAGAAGTAATACATGATCACAGTGAAAATAAATTCAAACAGTACAAAAAAGTGTACAGTGAAAGGTAGGTCTCTTTCTCCCTCCGGATTTCCAGATGCCCCCCTCCCCAGATGCGGCCGTTGTTACTGGTTTCCCATGTATCCTTTTAGAAATAGTCCTTGCAAAAAAAGAACAGAGATATGTAATATAGTGCTTTGTAATCTTATTTGGGCCACTGACCCCTTTGAGAATTGAGTGGCAGCCATGGATACCTATAAAATACACCAATAAAAAGATATGGCATTCCATTTCATTAGGGATGTTGAGCGTCCATGCCCTCCAAGCCTGTCTCCGATTAAGAACTCATCCTCTAAATGGCTATACGACTTCTTGCATGCACAGATGCTTTGCAAACTAACACACAGTATAAATGTAAGGAGCGATGGTTATTTGTGAAGAAATCTAGATAGTACTGGGATGAAGTGTTCATGACTGAACCTGTGGGAGACACTGTGTTTGTGTGTGTGTGTGTGTCCCTAGCTCACTGTCTATCAGTAAGAGAGGTATTGATTGCAGTTAAATCCTTTTTTTTTTACCTGATTGGTAAGTTGTTTATTTTTAAAGAAAATGCTTATTAAAATTATCATTACATAACTAATTAGTGTGTTAAACATTCAAATAATATAGGAGTGTAAAACTAAAAGAAGTGAAGCTCTCCAGTGCTAATATTTCTCCTGTCTCACCCTTCCAACCAATCTTATTCTCCATCTGTAATCCCTATTGGGGTATACATAATTGTGTGTATGTGTATGTATATTTTATCCAAATGAGATTACCCTGTACATAACATTCTATAATTTTTTCCAACTTAACATTATGTCTTAGGCACACATAGATCTATCTTGTTCTTTAAATGCCTGCGTAGTATCTTACATACTAATGTCTGGCAAGTTTAATTACATAGGAAGTCTTTCAAAGATATACAATAAATCATCTGTAGTGATCTGTTCAATGCATCACTCTTATATTATAGCAGCTCTGTCCTCAAAACTCTGGGGCTGCACTCACTGTGGTTCCCTGGTCCCTGAACTCAGATTCTGTGAGAGAGAGGATATGAGACTGAGCATGAACATAAGAGAATGTGTGCATGATGGCCTGGAAGGGGCTCAACATTTAGAGTCAAGGGACCTGAGTTTGAGGTCTAGCTCCACATCTCCTGGCTGTGTGATCTCTGAGCTTTCCGCTTCTCATTTCAGTTTCTCCTTATCTTTGCCTTGGTGGGTCTGGTGCCTCCCACGGGCTTACTCAGTTCTATAGATGGTGCTCACAGTGCAGGAGGCTGCTGAGTCCTGTGAGTGGGGGATGGGGGATTGGGGCTGGCATCAGGGACCCACCCAGGAGTAATGAGCCCGGATATCAGCAGACTGGGATCTGCCCTTGGCTCTAACAGTAACTCACTGGGTGACGTTGGGTAAGTTCCTTTTCCTCTGGGTTCTGGTTCCTCTCAACTGAAAAATGAGGGTAGATCAGACCACAAAAAGGCCCCTTGAGCATCAGAAGTTCCGGGCTGCAGGGAGAGTGGGCAGAGTCTCAGGGAGGTGGGCACCTGGGGCAGGAGGAGGTAGCTCATATACATGCAGCCACTGCATATCTATCTGACCCTTTGCCAAGGAGTGGCATGGCCCTCTCGCCTTTGATGTGTGGGCTTCCTTCAGCAGAATAGATAATAAATGCTACCTCTGTGTCATGCACTGTGAAGAGTGAGCCCGCACAGGGCAGTACCACTAAGTCATGACAAGTGTAGATTCTGATGTCAGACAATTCCTGGTTTAAAGCCTGGTAGATTATTACGGTTCTCTAGTGTCACTTTTCTCACCTGTAAAATGGGAAAAACAATAGTGACATCATTGGTGGATTTACATTAGGTGGTGAGTGCCAGCTCCTTGAGAACAGGGCTTTTTTTTTATCATTCTGCATCCCCATACCTAGAACATATTTCCTGCCACATAGTAGGTTTTCAATACGTATGTGTTGAATGGCTACTGAATAAAATGTTTGCACCCTGCTTATTGTCTAATAACACTCAGTGACCGTTAGCTATTCTTTTAAAATATGACTTTGATTGTTAGTAAACGTTGTCCATTACTTCAGTCGATTGTCATAGTGACCCTGTGCGATGGGAGTGTTATTGACTTACACAGTGCTAGTAGACACCAGAGCCAGAATTCAAATCCAGGTGTGTCTCACCTCTGAGCCCAAGCTCACCACTTGTGCCTTGCCACCCCATCCCAGAGGGAGCACATCACCTCTGTGCCTTCTTTCCTCCCTTCTGTACCGCCTTTGAAGTTCTGTGTAACTCCGTCTCACTTGGGTACAGACTAGGGGGAAGGAAAGGGTAGCAGGGTGGTTACCTCTTAGGGAAGCTCTGGATGTAGGGATGTGGGACATGTCCCCTTAGGTGTAGCTCTGAATGGACAAATTCCCAGGAAGTGGTTCTTGCCTAGTTCCTTAAAGGATGCACTTGGGCGAGTCCTGCAGTCAGACAGGGGTTAAACATGAATTGCCTGCTGCCTGCCTGACCTGCCCTGCCAGGGTTCCTCTGTACAGTTTCATTTGTATCAAGCTCTTAACAATGAGGAATAGGATGGAGAGCAGAGTGGAGAATAGCGTGTGAGGTCCTGGCTACACATCCTCCTGGGCCCCTCTCCCGTGCCCCTGGCTGAGCTCTGCCGATGCTAATATTTAGCAAGTTAGATCAACGGAGGCTGCTAGAAGGATAAACGACTGGTGGGTGCTCAGGGGAGGGCAGCTAGCAGGACTTGGTGTGGGTGATGGGGGAGGGCCTGGGAACTAGATTCTCAGACTTTCTCTGAGGTGCACTGTAAAGTGCTGTGGCCTGTGCCAGCTTCTCCTCCGTCCCAGACAGTCTGCGAGGATTGCAACTGTGACACGGGGCCAGTTACCAGGGACCACAGTAGGGGGAGGGAGGGGAGCTGCCACAGAATCCTGTTACCAGAAGGATCTTCAGTGTCCTTCTGAGCCTGTGTTTCTCCAGTATAATCTGCCCACTCCCTGAAGCAGAATTGCGTGGGGCTTTGTGAAAAGGCAGGCTCCTGCTCAGAGCCTGGGCTCCAGGCCGAAGTTCCTGAGTGTGGCTGTTCAGGGAATTACTGTGGGACTTGTTAACAATGCAGATGCTCAGGCCTACAGAATCCATGTCTCCTACATCTGTATTTTTAATATTATCAGTAGAATATTCTAATAGCTCTGGGAGCTCTGATCCTAGAGATCTCTGACCCTTAGGTTTGGAACTCACTGATGGAGGCCAATAGCATAGAGGTTAAGGGCATGGGGTCTAGAGTCTGCCAGACGTTAAATCTTTGGCTCCAGATACCCATGGGAGCTTGTTATTTAATCTCTCTGGGGCTGTTTCCTCATCTATACAATGGGACTCATGATGGTGCCTTACAGCATTGATGTGGGAATGAAGTAAGAATGAGAATTCTAAGCACAGTGCCGGGCATATGGTTAACTCTCAAAAAGTGGTATCTAGGGGCCGGCCCCGTGGCTTAGCGGTTAAGTGCCTGCGCTCTACTGCTGGCGACCCGGGATCGGATCCCGGGTGCGCACCGACACACCGCTTCTCCGGCCATGCTGAGGCTGCGTCCCACATACAGCAACTAGAAGGATGTGCGGCTATGACATACAACTATCTACTGGGGCTTTGGGGGAAAAAATAAATAAATAAATAAAATTATTAAAAAAAAAAAAGTGGTATCTAAAAATGGAAGGTAGGCTGAATGCCTCCTTTGTCTTCTTATCTCCCAGCTGGTGTCTTACTTCAGAGGGCCTCTTGGGGAACAGCCAATCACACCTCAGAGGAGAGTTCCTGCTGCACATCACCCATAGCCCTCTGTAGATGGGGGGTATCTTTCTGACCCTCACTACAGGGCTATTGTGACCGAGGCAGTATGAAGTCATGGGACCTGGAACCAGACTGCTTAGGTTCTTACTGCCTGTGCGACTTTGGGTCAGTTAATTAACCTCACTGAGCCTTAGTTTTCTTGTTTGTACAATGATGATAGTATTTGTAGGGATCATAGAAGTTGATGTGAATAATAAAATACTCAGCATAGTGCCTGGTCCATAGCAAAGGCTTGGTAATTTATAGCCACCATGGTTATTATTCACTGTGCACCAAACTTTTGTATGGTCTCTATTTGGCCCAGAGGCTTATTCAAGTGATGTCCAATCAACTACACTGGAACGTTCACTGATCCATTTGTGGAACTTTCCACTCACTGGGTGTTATCTCCACAGCCACAGCCTGATGCAGACAAACCATCGGCTGGTTTGTGGTCAAGCCTTGTGTTTGCAACATTTGTAGCCATTGGGGAAACTGAGGTGATGGGAGGGGCCTTGGTCAGCCAAGATGAGAAGATAGCTTGGAAACAGGATGCCCACAGCAGCTCTGCCTCTACTCTTTCCTGTCTGGACTCGGGGGTGGATGTGACCCTTACTCTTTGCCCCACTCCCACCCCCAGCTGTTCAGGGAGTACCTTGGGTGTCCCGCTGAGGGGCTGATCCGGGATTGCTGCGTCAGCCTGGGCGAGGCAGCCAGGAAGTTGTCAGGCTCCCTGGCACCGGAATGAGGTCAGCCAGGGGTGGATTCCAGGAAGGGCTGCTGCTGATCAGAGGCTGGCGCTGTCTCTCCTGAGAACATCACAGGCCCTTCCCAAAGGGCAAAACCTGGGGGGCGGTATCCCAAGGGGCGAGGGGCAGGAGTGGAAGCCGAGACAGCCAACGAGAGCGATCTTGCTAATTTAGAGTGGCAAAGACTAGTTTGGAAATACTTTTGCTTTTGACCTCTCTGGATGGGAGAGGGCCTGAGGTTTTGGAGCACACGAAATGCTACTGGGGCCCCTGAGCTTCTTCCTCCCCCAGAACCCTGAGGACATTCCCTTGCTATAGTATTCATCTCACTGTATCAAGGATGGCGGATACCTGCTACATGGGCCTCTATGCACCCTTCCATTGATTATTCATGATAGTGATTGATAGTAAGTCATGGCACTCTTTCTCACCGCGTCCAGATAAAGCTCTCAGAAGCCTCATTGATGCAGCACTCCAGGCAGCTGCGTCCAATCCATCCATGTTAGGGATGATAAGACCTTTTTGCTGTCTCTGTTATATACTCTAGTGATTTACTCCCATGTTCAGACTCTAAGCTCCCTGAGGGCAGGCACTTTGTCTGTCTTGTTCACTACATCCTTACAGGCATCCTCCACTAGCATGATGCCTGGCACATAGCAGGAGCTCAGGAAGTATTTGTGGAATGAAGGACTGTCTGTCCTCCAGTGGGCTCTGACTTACTCTAGGACAGGGATTATGTCTAGATGACATCTAGTATAGAGTAAGGGATCAGTGAGTGAAAGAATATAATGAATGAACATAACGTCTTTATTCTGAATTCAACGCTAGTATCTATAACCAAAAGAAAAGAGTGGTCACACATGCTTGATTGTGAATGTTCCTTCACTAAAAAGCTGCCTTGCTGACATGGGGTAGTTGGGGCTAGTAGGAAGGCCATCAGTGATGTCTCTAGCTTTGACATCAAAGCTTGTCTTTCCATTTAATTATGGAAAGCACAAAGACACTTGTCTTTCCATTTAATTATGTCCAGAATCCTATTATTTTAGTAAATTAACATTTGTATTTACACATGGGGAAACTGAGGCTCAGAGTGATTTAAGAGGTTTGTTGAAGAGCATTTGACAATTTAATGTTGGCGCTAAGGCCAGAACTTGGGTCTCTTCACCCCCAGGCCAGTGTGCTTTCTCTAATCACCATACCGTCTTTTTCTGAGTCCATAAAGTTTCCACCTGTGATTTGTCATATGCCGTGTTTGGATTTGGGAGGCTTTTTGTAGTCCTGGTCCTACCGTCCTTTATAGAGGACGTCCCTGGTCCAGCCTTTTTAGAACCTTTTGAGCTTCTCTGTGACAAGCTTTCAGTACCCTGAAATTGTGCACCACATTTCATATACGTGTGTTTTTCTCTGGAAGGGAAGTCTGAGTTTGCATCAGATTCTCACCAAAGGGTGCATGACCCCGTAATAAGGTCAAGAACCAATGATTAAAATCAACTGTATCATTTTACATATGGGGAAACAGAACTGAGCAAGGGACTTTTCCAGAACCATGATCTTTGACCACAGGTTCTATTTCTCCTATCGACAGAGGACTGATTATGGTGAGCAGTAACCTCAGCTACATCATCGAGCCCCTCCCTGACAGCGAGGGCCACCACCTAATTTACAGATCTGAACATCTCAAGCTGCCCCCGGGGAACTGTGGGTTCGAGCACTCCAAGCCCACCGCCAGGGACTGGGCCCTTCAGTTTACAAACCAGACCAAGAAACGACCTCACAGGGTGAGTTTCTCAGTGCAGGAGTCAACCTGGGGACAGGCTTGTCTCCTCTGAGAACCTTTTGGATCCACGAGTATTTCTAAATCAAAGGGATATGGCCAAGAAAGAGGAAATCACTTTTTTCTTTTACTCTAAGTCACTATTGACTGTGAGATACCCTGTATTCAATAAAATAGCTGCTTTGGGGAAAAACACTACTACATTTAAAATACTCTGAGATGCTGATTTCAGAAACTTTAAAATGTGAGAAAAAAATATATGCCTCCCCTTTTGGAATAGCCACTTAACCATACACACAAAATGCTTGTATTTATTTGTACCAAAAATAGAGGTATGTGGTTTAAATGTTTTTTGGGAACTTGATTGTCAGCATGTTCCCTTCACAGTATGTTGGCCTCTGTTCTGCCTGTACTAGCCAGCCCAGCTCATTATGATTTAAGAATAAAGGATAGGACCTAGTGTCCCAGAGCAGCCTCCAGCGATAACCAAGATGGCGGGCATAGGGTGTACTGGGGGTGATGGCGACCACAGCTGGGCCTGTCTCTAGTGCCAAGTACAAAATTAGTAAGGAGGTCCACTGCTTATTAACTAGCACCATTTCTTAGCAGTTTTTTGAAATGAGGCCAAGTCCACCATTTCTACAGTTCTGATCTGCTTATATCTCTTTCTTAGATGAAAAGGGAAGATTTACACTCCATGAAGTATGTGGAGCTTTACCTCGTGGCTGATTATGCAGAGGTAAGGGGGAGGCAATGGGTTTTAGCAGAAAAACTGCTCTCTTGATAGTTTCCATTCCAGGCTTCGAACTGCTTTGGGGAAATGCTGAAGCAGTCATCTTTTTCCGGTTTGTCGTGTGATTTTGACCTTAAATCTGACCAAGGGCTCTTTTTGCTATTTTAAACATAGTTGGGAAAAAAACAAGGAAAAGTCTCTTCTAGCTTGATACATTAATCAGATAGAAAATCAAGACAATTAATGTTATTTGGATTAACATTTCTTAGACTGGGTCTGAAGACCTTTAGATTTTGGTGCTTATTTTTAGGGAGTCTGTGAAGTCTCTACAGAAATTTAAAAAATACTTTTTCATAGTACTAATAAGTATATTCTCAATCATCTGACTGAATGCAATTTTCTTGCCTGCATATGGGTCTATTTTTATAATCATGTTGGTGCCAAATGGGAACCTAAAGCCATGGTTCCCAAAATGTGGTCCCCAGACCAGCAGCATCTGGGAACCTGTGAAAATGCAGATTCTTGGGCCACACCTCAGACCTACTGAATCCTAAACTGTGTGGCAGGGGTCCACCAATCTACGTCTTAACAAGCCCTCTGGGGGATTCTGATACACAGGCAAGTTTGAGAACTACTGACTTAAGGGAATAGATATTTGGCCTTTAATTCCATATTCCTCAAATTAGACAGGTTCTCACAGGCCTTGGCTTCTAAGATCTGATGAACGCTCATCTCTCTCATTCTTTCATTTCATTTATTCATCTATGATTTCTTGATTCTCTATTATGTGCCAAGCATAGACCCGCCCCTGGCATCACACAGTTTACCATAGCAGCACAAAAACTTAGTAGTTCCAGGTGTGATAACTGATAAGATGGTTTATTATAGATGATTAGAGTGCAGACAATGAGGGATCCAACATGGTTTTGGGAATGGGGGACAGCTTCTCCAAGGTGGTGATGTTGAAGCTGGCACCTGAAGAATGGGTCCAGGTCCCAGAGCCCATATTTGCCTAAACTAGCCGTATTTTACCTCCAATTCTCACTTCATGTAGTGACTCAACCACATAACTAAGCACATCTTCTGGGCATGGCAAGTCATGATGAGCTGAGCACCTGCCATGTTCTAACACTGCATGCTTGCCTCCCTTAGGACAAAATTTGTCACATTTCTGGGCTGTCTCATTATCCGCCCAGATGGTTTAGTTACCAGCTGCCAGAAAGGCCTCATTCTGGGGCAGCTCTACCTAGTCCACAGTCCCAAAGTACAGATCCTGGAGGCAGTGCAGGGTAGTAGAAAGAACACTAGACTTCAGGCCAGAAGAGCTGACTTTGAGTCAGCTCTTAGTGGTGGGAGGAGGTGGCCCTTGAGCTGTCTTAGAGACAAGGAGTTGTTAACTGGGCAGAGAAGTGGAGGTGAAGGGCATTCCAGGCCAAAGGATCATCGTGTTCTGCTTTGAGAAGAGTTTTGCTTTTTAATTGGTGTTGATATTGGTTTTTCCAACAGCCTTCTCTTTTTCTTTTTTTTCTTTTGTTTTCTTTTCCAAAGACTGGTGTGTGTGTAGGATGGGGGAGTGGTGTGGGGAGCAAAATCTGAAGCTGATTTAAAAGCCGAGGCGCCATAGTCGTGGGAGGTGGTAGCTGACGCTGGCCCTGCCCAACAGGACCGCCTGTAATGGGAGGGTTGCTGGAAGAAAGCTGAGCTCCTCCCGCTCTAGGACATTTTTCCATTTAAGCTTTGCATCGAAGATCATCTAATACAGTGGTCTTGAGCCATTTTTTTTCCAGCCACAGAATCCTTTGTTCAGATGAAAGCTCCCGGGCCCCTGATAGTTAAGCGTATAGAAACACAGCTGCTCTAATGTAAAGATGGAGCGACCCTCCCCTTCCACCCTGCACTCTCCCCAGTGGAGTCTTGGTGCAGGGTTTGAAAACCCACTGGGTGTGAGTCTCTGGAAGCTGGAGAAGTGGGGGCGGGGTAGGGGTTGGACATCTTCAGTCTCCTGACCTCCAGGGTCACAGCAAACCCCCAAGAGAGGAATGTCTGCCCAAGGTGTCTCTAGGACTGTGGTGTTGCCTAGAGCTGTCTTCTTGTTCCAGAGGACAGTGCCTTCAGCAACCCCTCACAGGCTTTCCCAGCAGGGAGTGATTCATGCAGCATGGTGGTTAGGGAATACGCTCATTTCTCAGGGTCCTGGACTTTGAATGATTCATTGGGGGGTGAGGTGGGGGGTATAATAGGCCAGGCTGGGTTCACAGGTTCACAAATCCCTGCCCCCTCAGCACCCTTCCCCCACTCCCTCTTCAAGTAGCCTCTCATCCTCTGCAGGCAGAAATGTATTCCTGACAATTAATTAATCTGAGAGGATGGGAAGACCGGGAAGGGGAAGGCTGCCTTATCTGTGATTTACAACCTGGTGCTGAGATGGGCCAGGCTCCTCCTGTGGGCTGTGAACTCAGCGCAGGGAGCAGAGATGCGAATAGTGTTGCTGCCTAGAGAGAAAGTTGTCAGCAGTGAAAATGACCAAGCAGCTGCTCACTCCCTGGGCCTAAGTAGGGATGCCTCAGGTGAAACGGGCAATCCAGGTGGGGGAAGAGCAAGGTTAGGTGTCGTAGGAGACAGGATAACTGTAAAAACAGGCATGCAAAGGGCTTTCATGATACACACAGAATGTGGGGTAGTTGGGAAAGGCCAGATGATGTGCCATGTTTTACTTCTTGTGTCACCGTAGAAAGTATAAGGCTGAAATGTTCCTTTCTTTAGATCAGGGGTCTGCAAACTACAGCCCATGGCCAAATCCAGCCCACCACATGTTTTTGTAAATAAAGTTTTACTGGAACACATCCATGCCTACTGCTGTATGTATTGTCCTTGGCTGCTTTTGAGCTACAATGGCAGAGTTGAGTAGTTGTGATAGAGACAACATGGTTGCAAAGTCTAAAATATTTACAGTCTGGCCATTTACGGATAAAGTGTGCTGACTCCTACTTGAGACTCTTCTGGCCAACATGATACATTCCTTAAACTATGGTGGTATTATCAGGTAGTTGTTTGAAGATAGGATTCATGTATTTGAAAGACCATGAAATCTGACTCTGATGTTCTAATAATATTCACTAAATGCTGCAACACTTTCTGCGCAGTGAGACCAATTTAGAAATGGGATGACTCTATAATGAGAACCTTCAGGATTAACACCTTGAAAGGTCTAAGTCACAGGGCCTTACAGTGAATTTAACTCTGTAGAAAGCAACAGTAAAAGTGAGATAATTGACAGTTCTGATGAGTGGCAGTTCCGAGAAAGCCCAGGATAGTCCAAAAGCAGTGGGAGAATAGGAAACGGTGGGTTTCTCCCCTATGTCACAGCTGGAACACACGCCCCTCTCAACAAATATCCCAGGGTGTTTTATTTGGCTGTTCTTTTTGTTTCTTGCTTGGATATTCTTGTGGGATGGGGTGGAGGAAGGGCATGAAAGTTTGGCATTGAAGTAACGTATATAGTGTGTACCCATGGTAAATCAGATAGCTAGCCAGATTCTATGTAACAATAGCATCATGCAGGACATGCCCATCGTTTGCAAATTTAGATTGCAATTGTAGCAAATTTTATCTTTACACTGTGAAACTTTCCTTCATCTTTGCAGCTGAAAGAGATCTATCCTTTTGAAGCAGGAATCATAAATGTGAGGCTACATACTGAATGTCCTCCTCCTGGTACCCATGACAGACATTTGTAATCAAGCCCAGCACTCTTTGCTGCTGAGCCCCATGCAATCTCAGAATTCTTCTCACTGTAGGAGGCACTGGCAATCCATCTGAGTTATTAATTGCAGTTATTTCTGTGCACATTTTCTCAGCTCATTTCAATTGTATACTCCTTAAATACAGAATCTGCCATTGTTGTTATTTCTGGCCCTCTCTCTGTTTTAATTGAAGCTTCTCTGGGCTAGTGCCAGGATTTCACACTTTGTGTCTCACCTAGTGCCAAGCACAATGCCTTGCACTTAAGCAAACATTCAGCAACAATTTGAGCAATATTGATTGATCACGTGCAGGGAGGCCTCATGAGATCCCTGTGACAGTGGCTTCATGTTGGGGTGATGACCAAGGCAAGGATTGGATTGGTCCTTCTTCTAAGATCCAGTGGGAGTTTGCAGGAGGCCTTGTAATTTGGAGGACAGGTGAACAGGTTGACTTCAAGGGCTGGAAGAAGAGAATTCAATTCACTACACAACTATTGCTTGCCTATTCAGTGCCCAGCACTGAGCTAGAGGTTGGGGATACCAAGATGGATGTGACCTAGGTTCTGCCCTCCCTGAGCTGACACTGTGTGTGTGGGGGAGACAGTTGTATAAAAATGATTGCTCATAGAAGATGGAAGAAAATAAAAGCCAATTCAAAGGCAAGTAATGGGGCACAGGAGGGGTCCTGCAAGGGATTTTGGAGTCTCACCTAGTTCTGCTTGCCCCATTTAGTTTCAGAAGAATCGACGAGACCAGGATGCCACCAAATACAAGCTCATGGAGATTGCCAATTACGTTGATAAGGTGAGACCAGGTGTGTACTTTGTGGGAAAGGTGCCAGTACCTTCCAGGGGCCACAGGATAGAAGATCATGTGGCACCTGAGCTGCCTCTTGATGGATTGGCCGCCCCAGCCAGTTTCTGAGAGGCAGTAGCAATGCCTAGAGGCTCAGGGTGGTTATGACAAAGCCCTCAACCCTTGACCTTTGCCTTGACTTGAGCCAAGTAACTTATCTTCTTTGGGTTGCAGTTTTGTTTTGTATTGTTTTGTTAATTTACAAAATAGAGAGGTTGGCCTAAGTTAATGGCTTTCAATTATTTTTGTTTTTCTGGTGGAATCCTTTTTTTAACTGAAATCTTACTCCAGTGTCTAATATAAAAGTCAGATGAAAACAGATTGCTCTAAGCTGAAGCAGGGGTGAGGACCCAGAGTGCTGTCCTCTGACCCCTTCCCCTCATCCCTGCAGTGGCTCCTGGGGAACCTAGGACATGGAGGAACCCAGTTTAAGAATGCTTTAAGGTTCTTTAAGTTTCCTTCCAAGTATAAAGCCCAGGAATTCTCTGACTTAGGAGAGAATTGAGGTAGGTCGGCATGGGAAAGGTAGAGAGCCTTAAAAGTTGAGTGGGTTGTTTTGGGGAAATCTGAAAAGTCTCTGTCTGTAAAACAGTTCTAAAATTATTTCTTGTCTCTTAGAAAGACTATGCGGATGGTTAACTTTCCTAGGTCAGACCCTTTTAAACATGTTCTTAGGAAATACCCAAATTCTTGAATTTTACTAGAACAGGCTGGTCTGGGACTTGGAAATACTTTGTTTATATATTGTTTATATGAAAGAGGATATTTATAGTACAAAATGCAATAGAATGGGTAACCTAGAATGACAGTAGTAAATAGTTTTAAAAAGTAGATTTTAATATGTTTGGAGTCATAGGTGTCTTTGAGAATCTGGTAACATTTATTGTACAATTTCAGGGCATGCACAGAACTTCTGAAGCTTAACTCTGGGCCTGCTAGGGATTCTCAGATTCCAGGTCTGAAGGGAAATCATTTTTTTCTAAATACTAGAAGACAAAGAAGAGAACTCAAATACTTTTTAGGGATTTACAAGCAAATTTGGTAGTGTTCTTAAGTCATCAGGTGGGGGAGTCTATGCCTTATGTTTCTTTTCTGCCCTAGATGGCTCTGGAAACACCAGTCAGTGACAGGTGAAAGTCAAACACTGGCATTTCCTGGAAGGAAGGACTCCAGGGACACAGTTCAGTACTCTCTCTGGCTCTCAACTCACTCAACAATAACATCTAAATGATCCCACATCGCAAACACTCAACATCTGGGAAAACAAGAAAAGCTTGTTTCCTTGGGGGGTCTATAGGAGGCAGACCCTCTTGTCACCCACGTGACGTCTATTGTTCTGGAGACCCAGCAGGTGGGAGACTTGGCTGGGTCTCCTCTTTGTGAACTGTCCAGCTGGTCTGAGTGATAGAACCAAGGGTGCTGATGAGAAGTGGAAGGAGAAGAGAGGATCAGTGAACCTCAGTCCTTACTTGAAGCCCCAGGCTTGCAGGCTAGTCTGTTCTGTTTAGCAGTCATGATTCTCTCCTCAGTGGCTGATGTTAGTCCCTCCTGGCTGGGGTAGGGAAGGCAAACCCACTTCTCTGAGGAATGCTGACCCAGCTACTTGAACTGAATTGTTGAACTAAAACTGGAATGAACTGCACTAATTTGCTGAATCCTGAATCCATTCCAAAATGTTTTTTCCTAACTGTGAAAAAGCCAAGTTTAAGTCCTTAAAAAGCTCCCTAGTGAAGCAAGTTCAAATTGGAATTCAAACCCTTTATTTTCTGTAATGATTGACCTGGCACAAAAGAGGAAAGTCAAAATTCCCATTGAAATCACCTGATATTTCGCTGCATCTGGAGCCCCTCTTACACCACAATTTCTTGGGGGCAAGTTGATTCTCTGGATGTATAAATATGCCAGCACTTAACCAGTGTAGGATCGTGAGTAGGCCCTGAGATCTGATAATCTGAGCCTTAATCCTGGCTCCACCTTCTTCCTGCTGAGACTTTGGGCAAGTTAATGAACTTCTCTGAGCCTCAGTGCTTAATATATAGCATGTGCTTGGTAAACATTGGTGTTACCATTGTTATTTTTAGTTGGGGCAGTACCTGTCACTTATGGATTAGAATGGTATCTCACATGCCCTGGGTTTACATGCGACTTTTATTTTTTTTCAAGGTCACTGCCTCAGTAATCTCTAGGGTAGGCCACTCAAAGAATCTCTTGAACCTATACCTTCCAGTACTTAGCTTTTTAAAAAATCCTCTTCCTGCTTATTTGTGTATGAGATGAAAGATACCATGTCAGCAAAGTTAGGTGTAGTTCTAGCCTTGAGGAGCCCGAAAGTCAGGTCTCATTTATAGAATTTCAGGATCTCTGGGTTGGACAGAATCCTGAAGGTTATTTGGACCTTGCAGTCTAATGCTTGCAACCTGTTTTTGGTATCCTTGACGAAGCCTGAATGCCTCCAGTGATGGAGAAGCAAACTTCTGAGAGTAGGCATATCTATCTACTTGTATATCATTTATACTCATCTACCTCCAAAATGAGCAGGAGACATCTTACAGTAATGTATCCATATACAATTTGGTCTAGCCATACAATGGAATACTATTCAGCAATATAAAAAGGAATGACAAACTCATATAGGCTACAAGATGGGTGAATCTCAAAAACATGCTAAGTGGAAGAAGCCAGACACAAAAGAACACATACTGTATAATTCTGTTTATAGAAAATGTCCAGAAAAGGTAAATCTATAGAGAGAGAAAGTAGATTAGTGATTGCCAGGATCTGGGGATGAAAATGGGAAATGAGTATAAAGGGACATAAGGGATCTTACTGGTGTGATGAAAATATTCTAAAATTCGATTATGGTGATCTCTTTACAGCTTGGTAAGTTTACTAAAAAATATTGAGCTGTACACCTAAAATGGGTGAATTTTACAGTGTGTAAATTATACCTCAATAAAATTGTTTTTAAAAATTCATATGCAAGAGAACATTTTAGACGTGTATAAAGAAGATAAGGACCTCGTAAGGAACTGGGAGGGGTAATTGTCCCAGACAGCCAGGCCAAGGGTACTTATTACAGACCACAGCAAGGCTTAGCTCTGAGCTTACTTACAACCGGCTTTATTTGAAAGCTTTTTCCTATTTTAAAATGAAATGTGTCTTTTGTCTGTTTTACTTATTGACTGAGCCTTACTTCAGGACCATGTGGAGCAATGCTGAGCCTTTTTCCCCGTAAGAGCCCTATACATATTTGAAAGCAACTCTATGTCCTATCTCAGTCTTCTTTTCTCTAAGCTAAGTCACCCCAGCTCTGCCACCAGAATGCTGTGCATCTTTCTCAGGATCTCATTTCCCCTTTCTGAAATAGGTGAATAATACCTGTTGTCTTTCCCCTTGGAGGCACATGCGACAGAGAAATCTGGTATTTGCTCTGAGCGCTTAGGCTAGGAAGGGGCTTGTAAATCTCAGGTGGTGTTGACAGATGACGCTGTGGTTCTTTTGTGTGCTTTCAGTTTTACCGATCCTTGAACATCCGGATTGCCCTTGTGGGCTTGGAAGTGTGGACTCATGGGAATATGTGTGAAGTTTCGGAGAACCCGTACTCTACGCTCTGGTCATTTCTTAGTTGGAGGCGCAAGCTACTCTCCCAGAAGAACCATGACAATGCACAGTTAATCACGTAAATAGCCTTTTCCATATGTGTTGCCTTGGCCTTGGCGGCAAAGCCCCTGCCCCCAGTGCCTGTGCTGTCTGCCCCTTCCTTTCCCCTCAGTGCCGAGTGTTGGTTATACTAGGCCATCCTGACTCTCTGGTCCAGGTAATCAAGGAATTCTCAGACATGTGCTCTCTACCCAGCACACCCTGGAAAATATTAAAAAGCCTAAGAGCCTTAACAATCCCAAGAAGTGTTTACAATCTAGATGAGAAAATTAGACTTAGATGTATTCAGTTGAGCATCTGAAGCATTTGGGTGTGTGTTTGGGAAGTGACTGACTGTTGGTCATGGGTCTCTTTGAAACAGACTTTCTAAGGGGCTCATCGTGATCTTCTTGGCACTTTGTTCTAGTACATGAGCTAATCTCTCAAAGCAGGTGCAGGAGAGAGCTTCCTTGGATTGTCCTTCACTTCATTTCCAGGGCCTCAGGGATGAGAGTCTGAGACAGTCAAAGTGGCAGGTAGTGCTGGAACCGTGTGTTTGGTGGAGGGAGACATTGGAGGCGGGAGGGGGTTGTGCTGAAGTTTCTTCAATCCCAGAGAGAAAAGAATAGACGCTGTTGGGGGTCATGGTGGCACATGAAAGTCGCCTGGGGTGATTATCTGATATTTATTAGTGTTGACATCGAAAGATATTCTGAGGCAGTTACAGCAAAAGGCACATACATAATAAGATCATTTTCCTTCTGTTCCCTAAATATCTCTCAAATCAACAATCATTTAAACTTTTGTTTACTCTTTCAAAGAAAGTGGGGAGGTAGCTATACTCAAAACCTGGGCTATCAGTGGTTACTTCTTAGTGGTACATTCACCTAGGACGAGTTTTTGGTTACCCAAACTTTGGGCCTGAACTTTGGAAGCCTGGTGTCCTGCTTTGGGTAGGACTTCCTCAGAGCCATGTCTAAGTTTATGAAATAACCTGTAGGGCTTCGTATAGATTTGCATATATTTTGCATATTCCTTTGCAGATTGTTTGCCTGAAGGAGTCTGCCTTGAATTCAGCAAACATTTATTAAGCACCTACTGTGTGTCAGATTCTATGCTAAGTTCTGGTGACCCCAAATAAATAAGAGTGTCTCAGCTCTCAAAGATATTGTGGTCTAGATAAGAAGACAAACATGGTGATACGAAAGTACCATGTAATGAATTTCCACGTAGATCCTTTAAATAAATTACATGTTCGCGGTATGCATGAAAACACTGGTATTTTATTCTTTCCTTCTCCCCTGCCCTAGGTGTATACAGCTCAGAGAGGGATGTATTAAACTGGGGGAATACAGGTCTGGCTGTTGGCAGATTAAGCTCACAACTGCAAAACAGCTTGCCGTTGTATCCAGCTGCACTTTGTGAGGCTCCTGATGGGACACATCTGTTTCCTTGGCCCCCGAGTGATGTGGGAATGAAGCATCAGCCCCCACAGCTGCTGCCCAATCTCCCCATCCTACCCCAATACACATACCAGAGAGCCAGAGATATGGCATGGGAACCCAGCAGCTGGCGGAAGTGGGCATGATTCATTTCAGCATCAGAACCTGTGCCACCCTTCCCTCAACCCCTCCCTCTGACGTTTTCCTCTACAGCAGGAATGGGATGCAGCTTTGCAAGTCCTGCCCATTTCCTTCCAGGGAATGGGGCCATGGGTGTATTATGGGAAAAAGTGACCTTTTGCTCTCTTTTTGTGTCTCTGGAGCAGTGAGAGAATAGGTGAGAGGAAGTGAGAGGTGTGGTGACTTAGAAGTTGTCCAGTTAGCCTAGAATACCAGGGCCTCTCTCCTTGGGAATGTCAGTGGGGCCAGGGAACACCATAATGGCCACCAGCTCCTGGGCACATTGGAACAGCCCTCTTAGCCCCCATCTGAATCACCCTCTCTCCTTCCCTCCTGCAGGGGCATGTCCTTCCATGGCACCACCATCGGTCTGGCCCCCCTCATGGCCATGTGCTCGGTGTACCAGTCTGGAGGAGTCAACATGGTGAGTCTTAGCCAGGATATTGATGCTGCAGAAAGCAGAAAACTGCCTCATAAGACAGAAGATCATCTTGTAAAAAATAATTTTATATTTATTATTGGAGAAAAAAAAAAAAAAACCTTGACATCAAGAAGGGCAATTGTTTAAAATGAAGTCATTGATTTCTAAAAGATGGAGGTACCCAGGGGCGAATTTTCATTTATTGTAATTTATCCCCAACTTTCAAGCTCAGGAGAACCCTGAAGCCATTACATTGATACATCACTAGATCTCTCATATATTCCAAACCAGGGCCTGGGGAGTAGTAAAATAATAGAGATAAATTTTGGGGGGAGGGCTGGCTGGTGGCATAGTGCTTAAGTTCGTGTGTTCCGCTTCGGCAGCCTGGGGTTCACCAGTTTGGATCCTGGGCGCGGACCTAGTCACCACTCATCAAAGCCATGCTGAGGCGGCGCCCCACGTAGAAGAGCTACAACTGTACAACTATGATACACAGCTATGTACTGGGGCTTTGGGGAGAAAAAAGAAAAAGAGGAAGATTGGCAACAGATGTTAGCTCAGGGCCAATCTCCCCCCCCCCCCCAAAAAAAAGATAATCAATCTTTCTTAAAAAGAAAAATTTTTTTTATTCTAGGTCTTGTGTTGTTAGGTATATCATTATGAAACAAGAGCCTGTCTCAAAGTCACAGTTAGGAAATTACTGCCTTCTTTTGAAATTCTCTCTGACTTTGTGGCAGTATTTTGACTATTCATTTCTAACCTATGAAGCAGATATCCAGGAGACCTGCTATGATCTATTTGTCCACCCCTCTATATCCATCCCATATATCAGCAGATGCAGCATGGTAGTTAAAAGCACAGGCTTTTATCACTGAGTCTGTATGCACAGTCGTCGTGGAATCAGTGGAGAGCTGCAAGGCTCAGCTAAAGAAAGGGCAGGATTAGGGGTGGGGGGAGCTGTCTTCGTGACCTGAAGTTTCTCCCTGAGCAGGACCACTCTGAGAATGCCATTGGCGTGGCTGCCACCATGGCCCACGAGATGGGCCACAACTTCGGTATGAGCCATGATTCTGCGGATTGCTGCTCAGCCAGTGCAGCTGATGGTGGGTGCATCATGGCAGCCGCCACCGGGTGAGTCAGACAGGAAGGTGAGGACAGGGTGGAGGGCAGAGCGTGTGAGGCTGGTGCAACCCAAGTGCTCCTCCCAGCCAGCCCCAAGGAGCCCCTGTTACATCTCTGGTGGGGGCCTTGGAGAGAAATGTGGTTTTGACAAGAAAGACGTTGGAAGGGGACCAAGAAAGCAAACGTGGAAGGAGCACTAGGTTTTTAGCAGGAGGTTAGTGCTGGTGGAACCCTAGATATACTTAATTTCTGTCGTAGGGTCTTCAGCTGTAAAATTGGCGTGACCATGTATGTCTTTTTCTCTTCATGAATTTTTGATGAAGACCATTTTGATAACAGCCACAACCCTTAGTCCCTGCATTCTAAGAGAGCTTGATGAGTGCTGTTATGTCCCAGGCTTGATTGAAAGCGCTGATGTAGCCTCCAGAACGAGGAAGAGAAAGGGGAACATCCACACACCCCATAGTCACTCCTCAGGGAATTCACAGGCTGTGTTTACCAAGGCAGCTGCATCTCCCTGTAGTTTTGAGGGGTTTTTAAACCAGAGCCTTTGAAGAGAATTCTCGAGTTTATTCAGAGGACTAATATTTAGTGTCTGAACTCAGACAGCAGAGAGCATTGAGTTCTTCCAGGACCTGAGTCACTCTTTGGAAGGCATCATGATGGGAGCTTGTGTCTCCCACCCCAAACCATGAGGGCCTGCTTATGCTTCTTAGAGAATGGTGTCTCAGTGTCTCCAAGAGAAAATGCAGCTTTCTTGGAGCTCCCGTGTCCAGTGTTTTTCCATCACTTCTCGGCTATAATACATAAAGGATGGTTCATGGGTCATGCTCAGATCCCCATGAGCTCACTGTTAAGTCCACCCCTTTCTCTCCCAATCTAGAAAGCATATTTGTAGACAAATAGTTGAGAGCTAATTACTACTCCAATTTGATTTTAAACTATTCACACATTTTAGTAGTTTAACAATTATTAGTAACAAATTCCTTGTGACATACCTCACAACTGAAGGGAACCCTCCATTGCATAACCTTTAGTTGGTTTAGAGAATTGGGATCAGGATAACTCTCCCTTTTTGGACCCAAATGGTGATACTGACTTGCCACCAGGGAAGGTATGACTTTTGTCCCAGTAGCAGGACCCAGGACCGTTCATACCCTTGTGATAAAGACCATGCATTTGTGAGTTGGCTGATTGAATTTGGAGTGCTGTCTGCATCTTTAGAACAGAGATCAGATCACTGGCCCAATGAAGAAATTAAACCCATGATCTTGGCCTTTTTTGTCCTGGTCCTCTGTCCCAAGAAAATCGCCATCTAATATCAGCTTCAAGAAAAGTTTGGGTTGGCTGGTATTTTATTCAGCTATGAGGCTCAAGAGACCTATTGTAACACACTCATAACCCTTTATTTATTGCAACTTCTTCGTGCAAAGGGTGGAAACTGTTGCTTTTGATTTTCAAGTACTTCCTCTATGCAGAAGGAGGGAAAAAGAACATTATGGGGTGGTTAATAATTCTTAGAAAGAATTGTTAAGTTAGTGTTCTAAGGGAGCAGAATGTATGTGCGTGGGACTATGGGGGTCTGAGTCCAGGTGGAATCAGCCATGGCCAACAGAATTGATGGCTGTTCTGGCTGCTTGATGCTCAGACTTTCCACTAACTCCAACCTTATTCTCTTCCAGGCATCCCTTCCCCAGAGTGTTCAATGGATGCAACAGGAAGGAGCTGGACAGGTATCTGCAGTCAGGCGGTGGGATGTGTCTCTCCAACATGCCAGACACCAGGACACTGTATGGAGGCCGGAGATGTGGGAACGGGTACCTGGAGGAAGGGGAAGAGTGTGACTGTGGGGAGGAAGAGGTAAGATGTCATAGTGATGCTGTTGGGAGAGGAAGAATGTGCAGTGGTTTCAAATCTCAAGGTCGAAGAGAATGCAATTGAAAATTCCTTAGTCATAGGCGTTTCCTACATACACAAAGATCCCATCATAAATAAGATGTGGAGAGTAAGCCTTAAATGTGGCCCATTTCTGCAGACTTTCCTAGTTTGAGGTTGGCACCGTTTGTGTCCGAGTCAGGGTGGAGTTCTCCTTGTGAGTATCTGGTCTAACCAGAAACCACAGTCTCTTCCCCAGTGGGGCTACAGTTGGCCCCCTTGGCCCTCCAGCTGCACCGAATTTATTCTGGAGGCCGCAGAGCCGGATATGTGAACTTGAACCTGCGCCTTAGGAGGATGCTTAAAATAACAAGTTCGTGCTGTTTAGCCTGGAGAAGGGATGATTGAAAGGGGATGAAGGAAGTATTGTCAAGTCTGAAAAGGGCTGCGAGGAGGAAGAAGGAGCAGAACTGTTTGTGTACAAGCTCTTCCCTTCCTTCTGGTCTTCAGAATGAGTGTGGCCAGCATGCAACGGCGCTCCGTCATTTCTAACAGATGCGTGTTCTTCTGCAAAAAGCAGAACTGGATAGTTTCATCTCTGTTTTTTGAAGGATGAAAATATGTGGGTTAATATGCAAAACAATTTGGGGGAGAGTACATGAGTAACTGTAAACTATGTGGGGGAAATTGAGGGTCTGTATAAACGGGAAAAGACTATTTGATTTTATAACCTTCTCCATGGTTTGATTTTTTTTTTTAATGCCAGCATGGAACTTTCATAATAAAACAAGAACTGGTTAAAGACTCCACCATCTCCGCCACCATGAGTTCAGAGAAATCAGCCCAGACCCTTCAGAAAGGAGGGAGTTGTATTATCATGGAAGGCCCAGTGGGGTTGAGGATCAGCCTATGAGTGGGCTCAGCCAGTTGGCTTATATTTGGAGCAGCTGCTTAGTCAACACGTATTTATGGAGTAGGGGGTACTATGTCGCGTGCTAGGGATAGGATGGATAGCAAAAATAGATGTGGTCCCTGTCCTCGTGGAGCATATAGTCTAGTGGAGGAAACACGTGTTGACCAGATAATGGCAAAGTATATAAATACAACCTGTGACGTAGGGCTATAAGTATGTGTGATGTGAGTGGAGCCGCCCTACTTGGGTGAGAGTGTGATCTCTGACCCCGTATCCGAAGGCAAAGTTAGGAGTTAGTGAGGAGCACAAGGAGAGAAGGCACATTTCAGGTGGAGGAGGAACTGTGCCTTGAGGTGGGAAGAAACATGGTATGTCAGAAGGGAAGGAACGTGGGTCTGCTTGGGGCCCAGGATGGTGGGAGATAAATGGAAGGAAAGTGTCCTTGTTCCTTCTGTTAGGGGAGATGGGTGGATGGATATCTGTAGTCGGGTGGTGGCATGTGTCTCTCCAACATGCTAGACCCATGGACACGATTATGGATATGATATGGTTAATAAGCATGGGGTGGGCTCCAGGCAAACATGGCGTGAATTCAGCTCCAACACTTGTCAGGTGTGTGCCTCGACCAGACACTGGACTTGTCTGAGCCTCGGTTTCCCCACCTGTGAATTGGAGATAATCCTGCCTCACCAGGATTGATATAAATCTCATATATGTCATCAAATCAGGACCTGTAGGGCAGGAAGGAAGAGAGGAGAGCATGGAACCCCTAGAGACCTTCTGTTCCAGAAAGGTCCAGGCCAGTGAGGGTTGAGGAAGAACAGCAAATGGCCAAAGCAGTCTGAGGAAGCAAGCCCCAGGAACTGACATAAACTGTGTTCAGAGGTGGTTCCAGCATACCCTTGTCCCTGATGGCCTCTTTTTATGGGGCAGTAAGGCCTGGGAATGTCGGGTCAGGCAGGGCAGTCGTAGAAGACAGGGTCTCTGGATGTTCTGTTGGGGATGAGAAAGACAACTCATGGAATTTCCATATAGTGTAATACTGTGCTCAAAATCATGTTTTAGAAGAATATACGTTTACAAGGAGAAATGTGCATATCATATTAAGTTAAAAAGCAGTGTGGATATTATGATTTTGTAAAATAAGTGTATGTCTATGTATGTGGAAAGGGAAATGCCTGGAAAAATATCTGCACTGAAATCGTAATTATGTCGAAGTTGTGGTCTTACTGATGCTTGTGCATTTGTCCATTTTCTATGATAAATACACATTACCTTAGCGATGATGCTATGCAGTGATTTTTTTGGGAAAGGCTTCCAGGGCACTTGGGCTCCAGGGGCATGTGGGACAGGAGTGGGGAAATACGAGAGACAGGGAAGGTCCTCGCCCCGCCCAGACCCCTGTCGCCCCGCCCTCCTCTCCCAGAGGCTCACGCCCCTCCCACTGCCTCTCCAGGATTGTAGTAACCCCTGCTGCAACGCCTCCAACTGCACCTTGAGAGAAGGGGCGGAGTGTGCCCATGGCTCCTGCTGTCACGGCTGTAAGGTAAGAGGCCCTCTTCCCCCTGCCCCGGGTCTGACCCGACAGCCCAGAGTTCTGCTGGGGGTGATGAGCGGGATGCAGGCTCCATCCTGGGGAAGTGACAGCATCAAAGTTGGAAAGGCCCTGTGAACAAAGTTTACTGTTTCCTCTGCTGGGCCTCACTGAGTTCAAATTACCCCGGAGGGCTGCGCCTCCTAGAAGGTGGGAGATTTTTTTTTTTAAAAAAACAAGTGTCCAGAGAGAGTAGGTTTGATTTATTTGGAGCTCATAATAATCATCATCATAAATTTGATCAACATTAGTGGACCTCTTATTAGGTGCTAAGCACTGTGCAGAGAATTTTATATATGTCATATCATTCAATCTTCACAAAAGTCCATGAGACATATATTATTATCCTCAATTTAAGATGAGGAAACTGGGGCTCAGAGGGGATAAGTGACTTTTCCAGGATCACACAGCCGGGAAGAGGCTAAACCAATTTTCCTTGACTCTGCAGCCCATACTCTTAATATTGATGTGGAAGATATTACTACTAATTTTACTATTAGCCTATAGTCTCTTATCCACAATTCTGAAACTTAGAAAGTTCTAAAAGCTGAAAAAATTTTTCAACTGATTTGTTTACAAAATTTGACCTGAATTGACATGAAACTAATTATAGTCTTTTTTTTTTAATCACACTTAAAGTGAATATTTATATTTCTTTGCAGAAATATTCATGTTTGATTATAAAGTATAACCCTGGGCCTTGCTGGGGGGTTATGTAATATACATATACGTGTATGTAATCTGTATATATATACATACATATGTATGTACATATGCTGTCTGCTTTCTGAAATCTGTAAAGTCCGAAGCCCATCTGGCCCCAAAATTTTGGATAGAAATTGTGGATCTATGCTCCCCTACCACTTGCTGAGTGCTCATTACGTACCAGATACTGTTCAAACTCATTCCTTCTAGCAACCCCGTGAGAGAGTCATTATCCCATTTATGGGTGTGTGAACACAGAGAAGTTAAGTAGCTGCCCCAGGCCCCACTGCTGGTTAAGGAGCTGGGATTTGAACCCAAGCAGACTGACTCCAGGGTGGGTCCTCTTCCCCTCCATCCTGCTCCTGGGTGGAGAGAAGCATCCTTCGGCTTCCTCCTCCACGCACGGCCCATGCCCACCCTTGCAACTGAGCCTCCATGCTTTCAGCAAGCTGTCAGCTGGCCGGTTCTCAGCCTCTCTCCTGGGAGGGTCTTGTGGGTGGTGTGGAGTCACTCAGAAGCAAGGGAGGGTGCTATTCTCAGATGTGGCTCTCTTTGCTTGACTCAGGGCAACTCACACGCCATCTGGTTTGACTCCAGGGCAGACCCAGCGTCCTACCAGGGAGGCTGTGCTGGGTCGGGTCCTTTGAGTCTAGGACCAAGGCCTGAGAATAAGCATGGAGAGCAGAGAACCTGTCTCGTTCCATACCAGGATTTCAGTTTGAGTCTCAGAAAGTATTCCCTGGAGAGTAGTGTGTGGGGAAAGACGAGGCTTGGCGTCTGAGGCCTTCAGTTCAAGCCCCTGCTATGTGATTTGGGGCAGCCTATTAACTATTGCAGCCTAGGTTCTTTAACTGTAAAATGAGAAGAGTACTAATAACACTGACCACCAGGGCGGCTGTAAGACTTGAGTGGAAACTCAAGTCTACCATTTGCCCAAGGTGTGCTATTGACCAAGTTATTTCATATGCAGAATGAGGCAAATAGCAATGTCTGTCTCATGGATATTGTGAGGATGGCACAAGACAAGTATGTGTAACATATTTAGCCTGGTGCTTGGCTCAATAATGGAGATGTATTATTGCTAAAGTGCTTTGTAAGTTTAAAGATGTTGTGTGAATGCTAGTTTAGTGTGTGTGTGTGTATGCACACATGGGTAAATATGTAGATGTTTAGGGGCAAATATTTGTATTGTATTTGTAGATGTATATGTGTGAATGGGTCGATATATTTGCATATATGAGTTTATATTTGCCTCTGTGTGTGTGTGTGTCTGTATCTGTGTGTATATATTAGCGGGCCTGGCTCTTCTGCTACTTACTAACCAGGAGACTTTGGATACATTGCTTAACATCTTTGAGCCTCAGGTTTCATCATCTATAAAACAGGGATAATTACAATGTGTAGGACTATCATGAAACTAAATGAAGTAATATTTGTACTGGGCACTTGAGTGGGAGCTCTGTAAAAGTAGCTGTTATTATTAAAGCACTTAGTAAACTGTAAATTGTTGCATAAATATTATTTCTTACCTACTTAAGATTGCTATTAAGAGGAAGTGAGTTAGCATTTGTGAAAACACCTTGAAAACTCTCACTCTATTCATATTAGAAGGTTGATGATGGTTTGAGCTGATGAGGTCATGTAAAAAGTGCTCTGAAATAAAGGTAATGGGAAATTCTGTTCCACAAGAGTGATGCTCATGAGCCCTTTGCTGATAGGATTGAGGGCAGGCAGGAGATTGACTATTTTTTCCTCTCGTTCCTCGGCTCAGCTGCTGGCCCCCGGCACCCTGTGCCGTGAGCAGGCGCGGCAGTGCGACCTCCCGGAGTTCTGCACGGGCGAGTCCCCCCATTGCCCCACCAACTTCTACCAGATGGACGGCACCCCCTGTGAGAATGGCCAGGCCTACTGCTACAACGGCATGTGCCTCACCTATCAGGAGCAATGCCAGCAGCTGTGGGGGCCTGGTAAGGGCTCTCCTCCCGCCCCACCACTGCCGAGCCAGCCTCCTCTTTCAGGCACTTGGGGTAGCTTAGAATCTTGGCTTCAAAACAGCATCTCTGGATACTACCCTCGACTCAGGGTAGACTTTCAGGGAGAGGCAGTGGACAGTGTTCTTCCCAGTTCCTTGATGCTTTAAGTTCTCAGAGTGGGTAAATGGATAAGAGTAATCCAAAAGAAGAATGGGCAGAGGAAGGAGTCAGAAAAGGAAATGCAAATAGCCCTTAAACTATGAAAAGATGTTTACCCTCGCTCATGTTAAGTGAAAGCAAATTATAACTACCATGAGATGGGATTTTTCGTATATCAGATTGGCAAAGACCGAAGAGTTAATATAATAATAATACTATAATTGCAACAACAAGAACAATAATGTAGTGGTTTGGAAAGTATGGGGAAAGCAATTTGGAGATATCAAAATTTTAAATGCTCTTAAATTGGACCCATCCATTCTACAACTTAGGAATATATCTTATACTATACTTGCACGTGGAGATTGATTTACAAGGATATTCATTGCAGTGTCGTTAGTTGTAGCAGTAACAACCTGTATATCCTTCAGTAGGGTCTGCTTAAATTAATTCTGGTACATTCATACAGTGAAACACAATGCAGCTGAATAAAAGAAGGAGGCAGCTCTGTATGTACTGAATAAAATCATCTCCCACAATAAATTAAGTGAAAACTGCAAGATCCAGAACATTGAATAGGATATGCTGCCATTCTTTATTAGATTATCTCTACAAGATACATAAGAATTGTATCTAGAAAATATCTAGTCTCTCTAGAAGACACATTGTTAATTATGATTGCTTCTCCAGGGCGAAGAGAAGTAGGAACTGGAATGGCTAGTTGGAAAAATTCCCAAGACATATTTTATTTCTTTAAAATTATGTACATACATTACCTGTTTTTAAAAATCCTGAAATGGTACAGGACTTCTTCATTAGAGAGAAGGCTTGGCACACAAGCCTCTCACAGATATAAAACCTCAATAAGGTATAAAGAACTGATATAGGGGCCGGCCCCGTGGCTTAGTGGTTAAGTGCACGCACTCCGCTGCTGGTGGCCGGGGTGCAGATCTCCAGCGCACACCGATGCACCGCTTGTCCGGCCATGCTGAGGCGGCATCCCACATACAGCAACTAGAAGGTTGTGCAGCTATGACGTACAACTATTTACTGGGGCTTTGGGGAGTAAAGGGGAAAAAAAAGGAAGAGGATTGGCAATAGATGTTAGCTCAGGGCCGGTCTTCCTCAGCAAAAATTGGCATGGATGTTAGCTCAGGGCTGATCTTCCTCACAAAAACAAAAAACAAGCAAACAAACAAAAAGCCAAAAAAAAAGAACTGATATAAAACCTTTTTCTATGAGTAGGTCTTGAGAAGGTGGGGTGGAATAACCTGATAGGGGTACAGGAAGAAAAGGCTGAATATTCCCTCCCAAAAATCTTTCTTAACCTCATCATTTTACCTAGGGCTAGCTTTGCCCTTTGGGGGCGTCTGATTTCTACTAAAGTTGGCTAGTGTACTGATAAATGTTTCTTGCTCACCCAGGAGCCCGGCCTGCTCCTGATCTCTGCTTCGAGAAGGTGAATGTGGCAGGGGACACCTTTGGAAACTGTGGGAAGGACATGAATGGGGAACACAAGAAGTGCAACATGAGGTGATGACCATGGAACAGACCCCATGAGATGAGCGGTGACAGAGGAATTCTTGCTCTGTCCTCACTCCTGCCCAGTCCAGCAGCTTGGTTGTCCCCAGAGCTGGGCCTTTCAATAAATCGGTTGGAGTCAGTCATCTATTCCAGGCCCGTTGTTGGACAATGCACCATTCAGCCTTAAGGAAATCAGAGGGAGGGTGTGTATGGCAATGCTTCCTAGAAAGCTGGTCAGACTTCCTTTTGGGGCCTTCTTACAGTAAGACAGAGAATCAGCCCTCTTGGGTCATTTCTGCAGGGTGCTAATTATATCTTCATCTGATAGCCCATGATTGATTCACTCATCCACTCATTCATTCATTCATTTCAACCAGCCATCCACCCATCCATCCATCCATTCATCCAGCCGTCCACCCACCCACCCATCCACTATCTGTTGAGTGTTTACCACATGCCAGATACCATGCTGAGCACATGGAAGTTTTAATTAACAATGCAGTGTGATAATGGAGATGTGGAGAGAGCCCCCCAACTCGATCTTAGTGAGTCGAGGTGGTTTCCCAAAGGAGGTCATGCCTAAGCTGAGATCTGGAGAAATTATCTAGTTGAACAGGGTGGGGAATGGTGCTGGTACATAGGAGAGTGTCCCAGGCAGAAAGATCAGTAGAGAAAAACTGGTGGTCAGAAGAACTGATAACTATTTGATATAAAGTATAGTGTTAGGGAGCGATGCAGAGGGAGCTGCTGAAAAATGAACCTGGATAGTTAAGCAGGGACCAGACCATGAAAAGTCTTGAATGCCTGGCTAGGGGAGTTTGGACTTTGGCTTGAGAGCATTTTGGAAATTAGATTCCAATGGGGCAAGACTGGAGGCAGGGAGATCAGTTTCCTGGCATCCAGGTGAGAGAGGATGGTACCGTGAATTAGGGTACATATGTCGGAGGGAGGATTGACAGGGCTTGAAAATTACTTGAACTCAGGAGTGAGGGAGAATGGGGTGTTGAGGGTGACACCAGGCTTCTGGCTGGAGCACCTGGGTGCATGAGGGTGTAAGGATTATAAGGGGACAGGTTGCTCAGTTCGGGTCATTGTCCTTACAGTAAAGAGGACTTCCCAAGGCCAGCTCTCTGGCCTAGATCTGCTTGGGGACAAAGATCCTGTTTCCCTCCCTTGATCTAAGTCCACGTGAGGTCCCTCCTGGTGGGTCCCTAGAGGACACTCATTGCCCCTTTGCCCCTCCCCCATCCAAGCCTGTTGTCCTGGTTAAGAGACGCTGAAGCTCTTCTGTGCCCCAGCTCTTCCCCTGCCTCTGATTCCACCTCTTCCCCTCCCTCTCTCGTGGGCCCAGAGATGCCAAGTGTGGGAAGATCCAGTGTCAGAGTAACGAGGCCAGACCCGTGGAGTCCAACGCGGTGCCCATTGAAACCACCATCACCATGAACGGGAGGCAGATCCGGTGCCGGGGCACCCACGTCTACCGAGGTCCTGAGGAGGAGGGTGACATGCTGGATCCAGGCCTGGTGATGACTGGGACCAAGTGTGGCTACAACCATGTGAGTCTTCCTCCAGCCTCACTCAGGGGCAGTGATTGGGAAGTGTGAGCTCTGGAGGGAGAATGTCTGGGCTCGAATCCCAGCTTCCCCAACCTCCCTGCGCCTCAGTGACTTCCTTTATAAAGTGTGTTAGTAATAGCAAGCACCCACCCCATAGAATTGTTATAGGATTAAATGAGATAATCCCTGTAAACTCTCTAGACGGGCTAGCTATTATCACTTTCATCCTCATCATTAATTATCATATGAATTAAGAAACGGACTCTTCTAGGAATCAGGAAAGCCTAGGGAAAATAATGGTACCTATCTCAATGTTAACTGAGAATGAAATTATAAAAAACATATGAAGCACTTGGTGTCGTACCTGGCGCAGAGTAGACTGCTGTCATCATCATCATTATTTTTAAGTATAATATTAAAATTAGTGCATATTAATATACAATTTAATTAACATATAACCAACAGTAGTAATATAGAATGTAATAACACATATTTATTATATTATTAAATATAATGTTTGAACAATGTAATATTTGTTGTTTTCTCCCTAATCACAAAAATAATAGCAGAGTTTAGTTAACTATTGTCCTGTCCTTGGCTTTTTAGGTTGTCACTATAATAAATATCCTGAAGTGGGCTGCCTTTTTGAGTCCCATATGTTCTAAGTGCAAAACCCCAGTCTCCTGATTGCCAACCAGTGTTCCTTCCATCATAATGATGGTTCGGTTTCCTCCCCACTACAGATTTGCTTCGAGGGGCAGTGCAGGAACACCTCCTTCTTTGAAACGGAAGGCTGCAGCAAGAAATGCAATGGCCACGGGGTATGCGTGCCCGGGGTTCTGGGGCTCCTCCTTGCTGGTGTCCATGGGGGCAGGCCCTGTGGGAGACCAGAGCTCTCCAGGGTGCTGATGCCTCCGCCCTCCCCCC